TTTAGGGGAAAAAAAGCCTTGCTACTAATTAAAAGTGTTTTAGCCATAAGGTTGATAAAACACCCTTTGTAACATTTCTACATAGGTTTAATTATAAAACAGCACTGTAAAAAATTAACTGGCACTAAATTACACTGTGGGGCTACATATCAAAGACCACTGTAAAAATTGCTTTCTGCAATAAGCCAACAACTCAGCACAGACTAGGATCAGATCCTTCTACCATGACAAGCACGCAGTTACACAAGTCTCATTTTCCTGGGTTTCCTAAACAAAATTTTAGTGCTTTATTTTTGAACCTCTGCATTGTTTTAGGTTCTCCTCAGTTTTCGAAGGACTGAAAAAGTAAAGAGGAAATTGTTATTTGCAAATATTGCCAAAATCAGGTTTCTAACCATCACTTATTTTAAGAGATAAACATCAAGAAGGCCATGCACGCAGGATAGCAACCTGAGGTAAACTTTCAAATTTAGACAGGAGTCCTAATATCCAGCAACCACTGGCAGGGAGTACCTGATGGTTGCTTTCCAGAACAAGGCTGATTGATACCTGACCTTGCCACAAAACTCCTATGGGGCTTACTTCCCTCCCTTCAGTTTCATGGCAGGGTTTGGATCTGATGATCTTAAAGGTCCCATCCAACCCAAACTATTCCGTGACTCCACAACTGTCCTTTGTGATGAATTCACATACTCAGAAGCACGTGTGACAGCAGTGCCTTCTCACAACTTGCCCACAGGCCCTTGGATTTGATTAGAATCCTGTCGAAAAAGACATACATGCATTCCCCAGCTATGGAGATAGTAGTAATAGACAGCTTATGGGAACACTGCAGAGAAGCAGCACGCAGGAGCTTCCTGCAGGTAAGATCCTATTTGTCAGGTACGTTGTTTGCCCACACTTTGGCAGCCTGCAGCTACCTGTGGAGCTCAACCTAGTAGGTACCCGTACCAAAAAGTTTTATTTATTCACCATTTGTGTTGTAACGATGACAGGTACGCGATGGCTAACTAACAACACGTGAACACACACCTACCTGCAGAAGGCCACGTAAACATACTTTAAACACGATTATCAAACCAAAAGAGGGCTGCAGTAACAGCACCATGTCAAAGCAGAGGAGATCTCAGGGAAGCAGAGGACAGCCAGGTTCTTCTACAAACCCCTCCCTGGAATCATCTAGTGAGCACTGAAATCTTTCACAGCCCCACATCTGTGTGGGGTTTCTTTCTTTGAAGGTTTCCTCTGCCTCAAGCAAGCAGGGCAATGCAACAGATGCACATATTTTTTGCGCTCGCATGGTCGCTCTATCACATACTGAAATTTGTGTTAGGATAGCCCCTACCAGTACCCAGATGCTGTATAGAAGAGTTCAGTATGATTGACTACATTATAATACAACCACATGAGATGACTAAAATAACTTTTTCCAGGTGCCAGATTTCTGCCATGACGTTTGGATAAAATCAGGAATATCTTGCTCCTTACTGAGCCTCTAATCCTTCCTCCTCAGAATATGTCAAAACTGATAACCATGGCAGACACTTACACTTGGTATCTTTCTTTTTTTCTCAGCAGCATCAAAATCTACAAACTGGAGCTCGAGTTGTTGTCTCCCTCTCCTGAACTGCCCTTCCTATCTGTTCATCCCCCACAGTCCTCCTCACCTCCCCCAAAAATTTTGACACGGGAGTTTTAAAAAGAAATCCGAATGAAGTACACTGCACAGAAGGCACATTTATTTTAGCATAGACAAGAAAAAAACACTGACAAAAGTACTTGAAGAGCTCTATTAAGTTATCTCAGCTTTTATCCAAGTTGAGATATTTACTTTGCCAGATTTCAAGTCAAATACTTTTTTTTTTTTAATGCAGTTAAGACACCACAGTGTCTGTGCAGAACAAAAACTGCAAAAAAAAAAAAAAAAAACACACAGTAATTTTGTAGGACATTTTACACTGCCCTGTGGGTGCCCAAAGAGATCACTGATAAAAGTGGTCTGTTAAGAAGTACGTGGCATAATGCAACCCAGCTCTTTCAAAACTCTGCATTCAGACACCACTTCTTCAAAATGTTTTATCAGACTGGAGGGAATATTGATCTGATAAATAGCAAAATACGGCACCTTCCCAGTTTTTCATCCCTTCACTTCTTCAACTATAACTTGTATTCAGAATATATTTTCTGAACTTTTTTAGTTTGTTCCATAGGATCAACAAACTGCTTCCTGAATTAACAACAAAACAGCCCACACTCTGAATTCTGAAAAGACAGAAAAACACCTGGTAAAAAATAAAATTCAGAGCATTAGAAAAATCTATGAAAAATGTTTTTTCTTCTTGAAAGAAAAAAAAAGAAAAAGGATAAATTGCAGAACGAATCCATATAATGAACAATCCATCAAAAGAACGATCACTTACCAACCTGATGCAACAGTGAAAACCCAAAGTAGCAAAGTCTAAAAACACTACGTAAGGAGGCCAAAGTACACCCAACGCAAGCTAAAATCTCTCACAAACCTTCTACAAATTTTCTACTTATGAAGCAAAGATACAGGTCACTTACTTCAACCATAGCAACGTGCAGTGCAATACACTAAATAAGTTCAGATATTCAAATAGCTGCAGAACATAAGACTGATCCTGTGTGGTTCCAAACCTGGCTTATATAATAACATTCATGTGATTCAGCAATCTCCATGCATTTCTCAGTTCTTTCACACAGCTCTCCTCATAGCTCACAAACACCACCTTTTCTTCACACCCTTCTCTCTCCTCTTTTCTTTACCATCAGAATTCCAACAGCTTAATTGACAACACCTAACCTTGAAAGAATTAAGCTAAAAAAAAAAACTAATAGAGAATCTTAAAAAAATAAAAAATGCAGCGAACCAAGGAAATCCAAGTTCGTTTTTTTTTTTTTAAGCATTTGCGTATCTCTGTAAAAGTTAATTAAGAAGTCTATAAGAAGAGCATATCATGGAGTGATCAAAAATACACTTATCATTCTTACAGGTACAAGACATTAAGGACAACAAGAAACAAACCCTCTCAGTGCAAAGGGGATGGAGGTGGGAAGAGGGAAAACATCTTTCTCCAGGTCCTAACCCAGGCAGCTTCCCACTGCTAACTCCAGACTAACTTCATCACCCATCAAGAATTATGGTTAGCCTGTGGCTTTCAGCACTTTCAGCAAAAAAAAAGTTTTAGCTGAAAAATGGTTTTAGTCCCTTTCAGGCTCTTTTTCATGCAGATAAAAACCAAGAAAATCTCCAAATTAATTCTGATAAAGTAAAAATGAAAAACTACCAAATTCAGGACTAAGTATCAGTAAAGAAACTCATAGCGAGATCAAAAAACATAGTATCCTTGAGGCCAACTTGAAGTGATGGTGCTGTCTTTTTGTAGAAGTAAAAATACTCTTTTGTCAAATCAAGACAATGCTCACATGCTTGCAACTGGAATTGTTTGAGATTATCTCAGCATGGTCGAACTCTCGGGCTACAAACAAGTACCTTAGAGTATTAGCACATAGAATACAAACAGAAATTGCTGCTTTCAACAAATCAAGCGCAGATCACACATTTTACTACCATCCTTGCTCTTGAAATGGAACTGCAAAACAATCGGCATTTGTATTTCTTTTACTTGCAGATGTTATGAGCCATATGAAAGCACTCCATGCCTATAAAATATATGCATTCACATACCTCAGCCTGCACACTTATGTTAGGAAAATAATTTACTCATCATCTATCACCTCTCTTAATAGCAAGCCATAAGAATAGAAGCCAGACAAAATAATTCAAGACACAAAATATTCTGAAATGCTTAACATGGGAAGAGTACAAACAATAGAAACAATTACAATAGACATTTAATTAGCTGATAGATTCCAACATTCATTTACAACAATCTTTAACTCTCCCAGAGCATTTAAGAAGAAGATATGAATACTAATTTTGTTGTACTTGTTTTAAAACAGAACAATTATTTCTGAAAATAAACTACTTTGACTCCAAAATACACCAGTCCAAAAATGGATCTTGACCAATTTCTAGTGGAGCAGGGCAATCACAAGACCACATGAACAATTTCTCTAGGATCCTCTGACTGGACCCCTCTTCCATACGCATGGAAACACATGCTGGCTCACTCTTCTACCCGTTATTTACCCTGCCTTTCTCTTCCCACCCTCCCAGAAGGGAAAGGATGTCAAAGGATTTTTCAGAAAATACTTATACTTTTACCTATAAAAAATGCAAAGAACATTGAAAATGTTGTTTTCCTAATGCTTACATATACACTGTACTCATGTTCTTCCAGAGTGAGCCGTCCTTATTTGAAATATGTACTTAAGAACATCTGCTAAAGACCACACAACTGTGTTATGTGCTCTCCTGCACTTGTGACTCAATAACAAGCTTCAAATTATTCCATGTGACAAGACAGCAATGTTACCTATTTTCCACAGTATCACTAAGAAATTTTTAAATTTTATTTATTTAAAGTCCTAATACCTTTACATGGACTTAGAGACATATCTATACTAGCAGGTTTTTCCTCCCTTCTTACCTAAAAACATTCTCTAAGGCACTGAAAGACATATTAATAAAAATAGCACACAACCTGAAAACATTTTTCCTACTGTAAGTCCAACACCCGCACAGCAGCTTTCAAGTGGTTAAGATTCTCTCAACATTCATATGCAAACACAGATATTGGATACATAAGAAAAAAAATGAAGTAATGGGTAATAAAAAGAAAATCTAAAATGTGTCAAGTTAACTGATCTGTCATTTCAGCAAATGGCGTGAAGATTTATTTCCACTTAGATTTATAATGAATTGTACACATAGATGAACATTTCCATTAAGACCCAATTAATATGCCAAAAAGTAATTGCAGGTAGATATTCCAAACATACTGAAACTAATCGGTTTAAGAAATTCAATCATTTACAACATTATGTTTAAGAAAAAAAAAGCAGCATATACAGACCTTCCAGTAGTCAGATTGTAAACTGTAGTACCTCTGGTATGCAGATAATGCTGTAGAAAAGAAAAATAAGTATTGAATTTGTTTTGTTGCCTTTTTTTTTTTTTTTTTGAAGAAAAAGATAGAAAACCTTAAGAGTCAGAATACACAACATTAAAATGATAAATGGTTTAATAAAAGTAACATTGCCACAGTAAGTACCCTGTTGTGGGTAATGCATTCCTTGAGATTATAATTTTGTTTTATGAGACGTCAACCCCAAAGTGTATTTATTATTAATCATACAAATGTAAATCAAGTAATATTTTAAAGAATCCTGTAACAAAAGGAATCATTTGAAATTTTGGGATTTTCTTCCTGGACAAAGCTGCTCTAAGATTTAAAAATTTAATCATGTAGCTCATTTACCATGCTCCCTGATGTCCTGTAATTTCTAAAGAACTAGTACAGAGGGACATACAAAGAGAAATCAGTTTCACATGCCCTTTCATTCAGTAGCTGGAGAAACAAAAGCAAGTAAAAAAAAAAGCTTACATTTTATTCAACATCTACTAAGACAGACTAAGCTGAAAACCAGCTCTAGAACAGCTCTGTTTTGAAGAATACTAGTACTACACAGCAATGCGCTTCTCAAATAGCCATTCCTACCTTCTTTCTGACTAAAAATTCTTGTTGATACATCTTGCCCTTTGGCTAACAGGCATATGGCAACATCAGACTAGAATGCAAACAGGCCTTATGTTCTTGTACGATCACTGCACTAGGCACCATCAAAAATGGACTACTTTAAATGATGATTCACTGCAGTTACAGTTTCATTTTTCTACTATTTGCTTGGTAAGATTTGAGAATGGTTTCTACATAGCATGCATTTTCCAAACAACAAAAGACAACAACCTCTGCTTTGAAAAATTACAGTCACTAAACAGATTAAGACAGCAAGAACTGTATGTACTTGCTGTGCAGGTTCATTTCCTGAAGGTATCACGGATGAACTATGTCCTGAAATTTTATCATCCTTCAATGCCTGTCCTGCAAGCTCATGTCCATAAGTTGGAAGTATAAAGGCTTAAGCAAAATAAGAAAATATATTTAATGACAAGACACACAGAGGATACACCCAGACCTCCTTCATCTCCTGTAGTTACATTCTGTACCCTAGTGATCTTCAATCTTTCTTAATTACTGCAACCCTATATATTTTTGATTGCATTTACAAAATTCTGCCTGTGGGTAGAAACAAACAGGCTAATAAAGATGCTGATCGTTTAGGGTAACCCCTACACCATCACATTTGGAGCAGGAGTATGTTTGCCATTTTATTGTTTTTACCCAAATCCTCCAATATAAAGCAAATGCTGTTTTCTCCTGGTATGTTTTTCCTTCCCAACACAGCTGACTACCAAAACTCTGGGACCTTGCAGCTCTTTTGCGGATCTTCTTGAGTGTTGATCAGTATCGTTGCTCAAATCCATTGATTTGGGTTGGATACAGGAACAGAGATGGCCTGTTCTTTCTAACTAGTTTGGAGTTTTTCTGCCTCTAACAATCCCCCAGCAGGATACTCCCATGTGCTTTCCACAGGGGACCAAACACCCCCAGTGGTGCTGCTCCTGCCCTCCTCATGCTCCACGTTGCTCCACTCAGGACAGCACGGATCTGACCCACAGCAACCTGCACCCACCTCTGCACTTACCCATCTTTGGACACCCCCTGCCACTGTTTTTACACACCTAGTTGGTATGAACCATGCCTATATTGTGCCTCTCAAACCAGAACTCCCTGAAAAGCCAGCTTCTAGTGCTGGTGCTCTAAACCGGGATTCATTTGGATGCCCAGGGTAGGAAAAAAAATAGGAGAATATTCACGATTGTTACCAACATGCCAAAAGCATGAATGCTTACATGTAATTTAGCTGAATAAAACCATTTAAAAATTGACACCATCAGGCTAAGCCTTTCAGAACTTAGGAATACAACTCCCTCCCTGCATCAGTACAAACTGAAGTATAGGACCACAGCCCAAACATAAGATTAAGAACGTTAAGAGTAACCATGTTTCACTCACATTCTGTAACTAAGCTGGGCACTATATGCTCACAGTAACAGAAAACCGCCTCCTCCCAGGTTCACCTTTTCCTGGGTATCATTAATAATTTTATGACAGAAAAGTGTAATTAGCTTTTGAACACGGGGATGATTTTGCTTTCCCAAACAGGAAAACACATACGAACAATAAAACACTTTCGTAATACACCACACCAACATGAAAGGAAAAAAAAAGTCTTAATTTAAGCAATAACTACCCAAATTTTAAAGGTTAAAGCATATTTCAAATAATTAAGTCAACAGCACCGTACAACGCAAGACTTAGGAAAATAAGAAATTCTTACAACCCATTTTTTAAAAAAACTAACTATTGTAGTAATTTATACAGGGAATATGGATAAAACAATGGGATGAAAAGAACACTAAATACAATGCTAAAGAAACAACAGAAGACCAGTGGAAAAAAAAAAGCCTTACTGACAGTCAACAACCAAACCCACTCTTTATGCAAGTGCAGCAAAAAGATGTATAGCTCCAGTTTTATTCTTGCTCCTAACTCTGGACAGTCAGAGGATTTGCAGCCCTGATCCCCAGCCAGAGGCACAGGAACAGAGCTAAACAGCACTGAAAAATGGGAGAGGTCAAACAAAGGTATGCGCTGTGTTCAGACCTGACTGACAAAGCATGCACTTATCAGTGGAAGAGAGAAATTAGGAGGCACAGGACGCTAGGTTCCACTAATGCTACTGCTTTAAAGCAACTTGCCCAGAAGTACTAGCACTATTTAACACAGGGAAAAAAAATCATAGATTAAAGGAGTTTTTGCTCCATTATATTCTGCTAGTTATCCTTAGAGTCCTGATGTTTGTAAATCAAGTTCTTTTCAACCTCTTGCACACTTCAATAAAATTCAGCAGCTTCTCACAGTAACAATTGAAATCATTGAAATTAGTTCCAACCTCATATGCTACAACTAAAAGCGAGTACTCAGAAATCATGGCCTGATGAAGCACATTTCATATACACACAGTAAGAAGGTAAGACCTTCATTCTAAGAAAGGTCATATTACTCTTACAGAGGAAGAAGTAACACATTACAGCTCTCCTCTAGAGTGTCTGAAGTGCCCAATCCCACTTCTGGGTTCAGAAACCTGTTCCAGGGATCCATCCTAAAAGCTGGGACAGGGGAGGGTCAGGCTGGGGGTTAGGGAAAGGCTCTGCACCCAGGGGGTGGTCAGACATTGGGACAGGCTCCCCAGGGCAGTGGTCACGGCACCAAGCCTGATAGAGTTCAAGAAGCATTTGGACAATGCTCTTAGACACAGGGGCTGATTTTGGGGGTGGTCCTGTGCAGAGCCCGGAGTTGGATGTGATGATCCTTGTGGGTCCCTTCCAACTCAATATATTCTGTGATTCTTCCCTCTGTTTCTCACTTCCCAGGTCTTCATGAACCATGACATACTGGTAGCTAGTCAAATCTCCAATTGCAGTCCTTTCTTTCTAGGGTAACAGCATTCTGCTGCTACCAGCCACTGCACTTAACTTCTTGAAGACAAAATACTACAGTTCTCAGTGTTGTGCTGAAAATGTTGCCAACAGCAAATCACAGAGGGATCCATTAGGCCTGCAGTATCCCTTTCCTTCTTAAAAAAAGCTAGACACCTAGAAGCTGTTGTTCGTGCACAATTTCAGTATTTAACAAGTGCTAAAGTTCCAGATGTGAAAGTTTATTTCAGCCCTGGTCACAACTACATTAACATCTGCTCCGCAAGAACACAAGCTCTGCTGCAAACGATGGACAGAAAAACTGGGGGGAAAAAAAAGGATTCAACAATTTTCTTTGTTTTTTCGTTTCTGCCAGAACCCACATGAAAGATCCCTAATCAAGCATACTCCTAACAAGAATCTTGCACATAAGTCATGCTAGAAACCAAACTATGAAAGGAAAGTTTCCGAAAAGCCACACAGCTTACTAATTTTAAAACAAGCAACTTCTCCTCTAAATAAAGTTTTTAACTATAGGAGGTGAGTGCAAACTTCTCATATTACAAAACTTACTATAGAATAAGGAAAAGGGGGGGAAAAGTGAATCTGCTGAGCAAAATGAATAAATGATAAATAAATAAATCCCCTTCTGAAACCTGACCTCTGCTGAGCAAAACAAATAAGTAAATATAAGGGTAAGATAATTTTTGACGGGAGAAAAAATGTTCTATGAATCACTGTTCTTTTTAAACATTAGAGTCAACTCACATTTTTTAAATTAAAGTGAAGGACATTTTAACTGAAAAGGGATAATTTTTTAAATAAGCCCATAATCTAAAGGCTTCCCAGGAAAAAAATAAAAAATTCTCATTTAAGACATAGAGATAATAAGACGGACAAATCAGATCTTTAAATATTAGAGATCTCTAAATAAAACTGGCTTTGCAAGTAGTAAGATTTTCACAAATAATGTGAACTTTAAGAATACTAGGAATACAGGGAAAATTTTGAAAGGAATCCAAATGTACTGGAACAGAAAAGTTAAATTAAGCATCTAAGAACTTCTGCAACATGCCACTTACAACGAGCCTTAAAAATCCATTAAAACTAATCTAGGGCTACAAAACACCAAAACGAAATGAATACTTTGAAATCACTCTTAAGCACAGCAGAATTCAGCAGACAATCTTCTGATTAGGAGCTTATTATTAAGCTTTTCAAATCCAGAAGTTCACCACTGAAATTCTTAAACCTCTGGAACTGCCGGAGTTTAAACATACAGAAACTTCTTTTTTCACAGCATGCAAAACCCGTGTTCGTTCTTCATTCTCAACTCCATTCATAACATCACCTTGTCAACCACAGAAAATTTTCTTAAACACAAAACTGAGAAATCATATTCAGACATCTAAAACAATACCCGGACAAGTGTCTCAATAATTCCTACAAAAGTGGTTCCTGGTAGCCTACCTCCATCCTTTTGCCTAGTACTTCATTACTTATCAAATCAAGCTAGCACT